TGGGTCCAAACAGAATAAGCATATAGCCTAAATATTATTTCTAACATGATTCAAATGTCATACAATCAAACAAGTAGGGAGAACATGGATGTAAAATGATATAACAGCAAAACAAGTCCGGTCATAGTCTAATAGTTGATTAAAATGATGATTTCCTCGGTGTACGCCCACACGCTCGTCACCTAGCATGTGCGTCACTTCAATACATCTTTTATAAAATAGTTCCTAGGGTTAAATATCCTCAAATCCAAGTTGAGATATGTTACTTATCTCGAACGAGCCGAATCCAATACCGAGCAAGCCAAACAATACTCTAGAAAGGCCATCCCGCGTGTACCGACCTCCAAACGGCTCGAAACTAGCCAAAAGCAACTCAAGAAAATCAAATAATACCAAAGGAAATAAACCTAATCGATAAAGGTCGAATCTTTAATCAAAAGCCCAAAGTCAACCAAAGAGTAAAACCCGGGCTCGCACCTCGTAACCCAACAAAACTCATAAAATCTGATAATACATTCAATTACAAGTCCATCCATACTAATTTCATCCAATTACAAATCTGAATCGATGTTCAAAACTCAATTATTCACTTTAGAAAAGTTTTTGATAAAAACCCAAAATTATCCAATTAAAATAAGAATTAATTCACAAATAAACACCTGTAATCATATTAAAATACAAAAATTATAATTGTATACTGACCCCCATGAAAATACGAGAAGAACTCTGCAAAAATGAACTCAATCTGAGCTCTAGAACTCAAGATATGCTCAAAATACCAAAAGAACGCAGTCTGATTTTTGATACACTGGTATTTTCGCTTTTGCGACAAAAATTCCGTACCTGCGCATTCCAGCTGTCATTTCCGTTGTTGCGGACCATTTTTCGCACGTGGGGGTCGCAGATTCGAGCCCAGTTTTGCATCTGCGAATCACCAGTACCAACTTTCTTCTCCAATACTAAATGAGCATAACTCCCTCATACGATGTCTAAATTCGACGATTCCTTTTGCTATGGCTCCGTAATTACGATACAGATCTAATACTTCAACCAAAACAGAAATTGGAGCTCATTCACTTAATGTGGTACCATTTATGCTTGAAGAAACAATGTTGAAACATCAAAAATGAGTGCAACACAACTCAAACCTATCCGAAACTCACCCAAACCTATCGCGACCCCGTCCGAACATACCAACAAGTCCCATAACATAACACAGACTTACTCGAGGCCTCAAATCATGCATAAAAACATCAAAACCATTAATCGCACCTCAACTCGAACTTAATGAACTTTTGAACTTTTAACTTCCAAAACTCGTGCCGAACCATATCATATCAACTCGGAATGACCCCAAATTTTGCACACAATTCCCAAATGACAAAACAAAGTTATTCCAATTCCTGAAACCAAATCTAAATGTGATATCATCAAAGTCAACTCCTGGTCAAACTTATGAACATTCCAAACCTTAAAATTGCCAACTTTCGCGAAATAGTGCTGAAACCTTCTAGAAATATTCAAATGCAACTCCAAGCATATGCCCAAGTCCAAAATCACCATTCAGACCTAACGGAACCATCAAAACTCCGGTTCGAGGTCAAATACTCAAAACTCAAATTTGGTCAACTCTTCCAACTTGAAGCTTCCAACATGAAATTCATTCTTCCAAACTAATTCTGAATTACTCGAAAACCGAAACCAACGACACACACAAGTAATAATACATCATACGGAGCGAAGTGCAAATGCTTAAAACAACCGATCGGGTCATTACATTCTCCCCCACTTAAATATACGTTCGTCCTCGAACGTACCAAAAGTAGCTCTAAGGCCATCAATTCACTATGTAACCTTACCATGCACATACCTGGGGGTGATCCCATGTCACCCCAAATCCATATAAGCCCATCAACTCAACATAACCGAAGATTCCTCCTTCAACCTTAGCCCATAAACCTTGGAACCCAATTTCCAACATCCGGAATTCCTTACAAAACTCGATTCTCGCATCTATACACTATATAAGTCTGAATAAGGTGTATCAAGACGTACCCATAACCCAAGATGAAATCACACGATATACCACATACTCGCATACTCGTAGAAATAATTTTCGATCACAGTAGCTGCTCAAAAACAAATCCAGTATCGGTAATAAACCTCATATCAACTAAAAGCTTGTTCCAAACCTTCGTACACTACCAACGGTTAATGAAACACGCAGATACTCATGACCACTCATTAGATCAACAAGCCATGGAGCTTCTCTCTCTCTCGTCCGACAAGAACTAAAGCCAAATTCTAAGCCGACTTTTGATATTATTCTTCCAAACATACCGTAATCAAATCTGATAGCACCCATATTAGGTCCAATGACCTCATCTCATAAAACACAACTATTCTACTAACATGCCACACCAATACAACCTAAATCCATAAGTCGTGCAATCCGTGCACCAATAAGCAACAATTCAAATGTATTCAACATGGAAAATGACTCAAATGAGAGAACCATCTCGCAAGCTCAACAAGTACCACTACAAACACAATGCTATGAACCCATCACACATGGTAGAACCAAGACACACGAATCAATCACAAAGTATCATATCTCAACATAACCCCGATGTATCCAAACATTGGTCCGTATGAAATACCTCGAGCCAAAATGCTCAAAATCAATAACCACACGCAATTCGACATCAAGTACACAAAGTGCATGACCATAACCATGGAGGAGTGAATAACACAATATACCACAACCCAAAAATACCATAACCAAGGCGTGATCAACCATTCAACACCCCAATAACCATCTCGCTTGAATTCCGCTACAAGGCCCTAACAGAACCGCGTCATGTGTGCCTATAACCAACAAATCACAACCCCTTGTAGCATAAAAGAGTAACACATAGAACATATCAGAACACGAACAAGCTCAACTCCAACCAAATGAATTACCCCTCAACACTAACCGTGTTGAGTCGACAAATCCGGCTCGATTTAGAATACATATCCTCGTTGGGTCTACTAATGGGCCCCCAAACCAACTCCAGTCATCCGCAAATAGATAAATAAGCCTAAAAAAGTCCACATAACCTAACCATAACACATACCATTGACTGTCTAGCTTTGGCCATATCTACACAGTCTGCAACCAAGAAACAATCTGCCTCTGAGACTCCCAGTCTCCAAACCACAAGGACACATGAATCATCATAGCTGATCCCAACTCCACCACTTGAATGACTAACACATCTATTAGAGACCCGGTGGTTTGCTTCATAGGGTTTATATTTCGGAGTGGAAGTGGAAGCATATCACTATAGATTTTGTAGTTGAACTTCCACGGACCTTGAGGAGATTTGATGCAGTGTGTGTTATTGTGGACAGACTGACCAAGTCTGCACATTTTATTCCAGTTATGACTACCTATTCTTTATAGCACCTGGCTCAAATTTATATTCATGAGATTGTTCGTCTTCATGGTGTGTGATGTGCCGTAGAATTTTGGCACATTTGATACCAATTACATAGACTTTAGCTCATCTTTCAATGCATTTTTAGTTAATTTTTATAAAGTTTTGGTGTTTTGCAGTGCATAAGGCTTGAGGACCCAAAAACATGGAAAAGAAGTTAAAAGGCCACAAAAGGGAAGAAATGATGCAAGTATGCGGTCGCATAATGCATATGTGGACCGCAAAACCATCACAGACTGAAGCAGATTGTTGGTTAACTGAAGAGAAAAAAATGCGACCCATTATGCGGTCGCATAACGATTATGCGGACCGCATAGTGATCGCAAAACTGAAATCAAGAAAGCTGAGAAGCACTTATGCAAAAGAATATGAGGTCGCATAATGTATATGCGGACCCATAATTGAAATGCGGTCAAGATCTGGGTTTGGAGACATGAGATTATGCGATGATTTCGAATAATATGCGGACCGCATACGTGATCTGCGACCAGTATGCGGTCGCATAAATGCTCTGCAGGGTTATTTTTGTCCAATTTTGGCTCCGACTTTTAGCCCACTATAAATAGATTTATTAGGGTTTTTGTAGGGCAGCTAAGTCAAAAAAAGAGACTACTTTTGGAGCATTGAATGCACCATTGCTTTGGAGACTTTTGAAAAAAGAATCATGTACCTTTATAAGCTTTATGACTTTATTTATCGCTTTGTTCTTAGATTTCAGTATGTGTAGCTAGTTTTAATTACTAAGGTTGTGGACCCTAGATGGGTGTAATGTTAATGGGTGTTTACCATTGAATATATATATAATGGTTGGTTGATATTTATTCAGTTTTTATGCTTCATGTGATATTAATGGTTGCAAACATTAACTAATTCCATTTCACTCTATCTTCACTTGGAAAAGTGGGCTAGGGTTTGGTAGAATTGGATATCAAAAAACTCAAGGCTTTAACCCTTGTTTAATGGAATCGCCTAGGAATGAGTGGGATCTATTTGGCATAAATTGATTATTTTCAATCGCAACTCTTTTACATTTGGGAAAATCTTAAAGAGTAGATATTACCCAACTATTGGGAAATATTGGGTAGTCACTTAGAAACCATTTGCATATCAAAGAACCTTCCATTAGAAATATATCATATTAACAGCGGTAGCATTACATTCCATCAATGGGGACACAACCTTGGTTTTCTTAATCAAATTAATTACTTGTCTTCATTTCACTCAATTACAACATTCTTTTTTTTAGCTAATGGAACAGAATTACAAATTAAGTCAAGTTTCACACTACTCAAGTAACCTTTTCACACCTATTCCCTGTGGGATTCGACCCCAACCTAGTTGGGTTATTATATTTGACATCGACCGCTTTACACTATTTATTAAAGTGTAATTTGAGCGTATCAAATTTTGGCGCCGTTACCGGGGAATACGGTCTTGAAATTACTATTTGGTGTGTGCTTTAATTCACATTTTTATTCCATCATACTTTGCTTGCTTTGCTTGGTGTGCTAGATAAACATGGCAGAGTATGACGAAGAAGAGAATCCTTTTGCGGATATAGATGAGTACATCGAGGACACAAATGCCATTGTCCCTCCACGAGTTGAGTCTGCTACCTTCAAAGTGGAACATGGTTTGATCCTAATACTTAAAGCAGAGGGGTTTTTTAGGAATTCTACCGATGATGATCCAACACAACATCTTAGAAACTTCTTGGGTGTGTGTGTGATGCACAAACAGAACAACGTGTCAAATGATGCCCTAATACTGAGGGTATTCAAGTACTTACTAGTTGGAGAGGCAAGGAAATGGATCCAAAATCTACCACCTCACTCTATTCACTCTTGGCCTGAACTAATTCATGCTTTCCTAGCCAAATGGTTCCCACAAAGCAAGAAATCCGAGCTCAAGGATAAAATTTTCTTCTTCAAGCAACTACCGGGAGAACACCTACATGAGGTGTGGGATCGGTTCAAGCTATACCTAGTGAGGTCGCCTAATCATGGTTTTCCGGATAAAATCTTATTAGAAAAGTTTTACATGGGTTTGGATCAGTTGAACCAATCCATAGCAAAGAATGCGGCGGATGGATCTTTTATGGACAAAACATTCATAAGGATCACACAAATTCTCGACAAGATGGTAGAACACAATCAAGCTTGGCACTCGAAAGATACCACGGGTGGAATTGCATACGGTACTCCCTCTTTGACCAACATGATTAAGGAGAACCAAGAGAGAGATCAAGTAATTGCCGATCTTGACACAAACATTAATGTGTTAACCAAGATGTTCACTGAAAACCAAACTAAAAAGGTAAATGTTGTAGAAGATGTGCAACCCTTGTCAAACGAAGATTGCGAGGAGGCAAACTATGTCCATAATTCTCAAGGTGGTTATCGCCAACAAAATCAATGGAGGCCTGACCCGCAAGGGCAAGGCCATCAACAGTGGCGCAATGATCAAGGTGGATCAAGTCAAGGTAATTGGAGCAACAACAACAACAACTATGCAAACCGGAGTTCAAACCCCTATGTTCCACAAAAGGGGCAATACTTTAACTCATCGCATTATAAGGAAGGTTCTTCAAGTGAGTCCAAGTTGGAGAGCATACTTGAAAGAATATTGCAAAATCAAGAAAGAGGCGACACTACAATGAAAAATATGGCCGAACTTGTGGGGTCACACACCGCATCCATACAAAAGCTAGAAATGCAAATGAGAGATTTGTCAAGAGAGAATAATCCAAAGCCGAAGGGCACACTCCCAAGTGACACAATTGCAAACCCTAAAGGAAATGAGAGTGGTCCAACTTCTTATTCCATGGCAATCACCACGCGAAGCGGAAAGGTACTTCAAGGAGAAAATGAACAAATTGTTGGAGTAGATGATCTTGAGCAAGAGGTTGAAGCACAAGTTGAAGTGCGTATTGTTATTGAAGTTGAAAAGCTCCCAAAAGGAGTAAAAGTCCAAGAAGAAAATCATAAAAGGGTAAAGGAAGGCGAAAGAGACACCAAAAGCTCTAGCAGAAATTCCTAGACCTTCCCCTCTATTCCCTCAAAGACTTTCTTGGAGGGTTGATGATAGCAAATTCAAAAACTTTTACGACATTCTCAAGTAATTGTCGGTGAACATACCATTTGTGGAAGCCTTTCAAGAGATGCTGGGTTTTGCTAAATACTTCAAGGACTTGATAACCAAGAAAATAACCACTAAGAATGAAGTGGTGAATGTGACTCACCGGTTTGGCTCCATTATTGCAACAACCACCGTTGAAAAGAAATAAGACCCGGGAGCATTCACCATTCCATGCACTATTGGCTTGCGAGATTTTGCAAGGGCTCTTTGTGACAATGGGGCTAGCATTAACTTGATGCCACTTACCATTTACAAGCAAGCGGGGTTAAGCATGCAGAGACCTACAAGCATGAGGTTGCAAATGGCCGATCGTTCAATCAAAAGACCAGTGGGAATTATTGATGATGTCCTAGTGAAAGTGGGAAAGTTCCTCCTTCCAGCCGATTTTTTGATCCTTGACTGTGCCGTTGACAAAGAAATCCCTATCATCTTGGGGCGGTCATTCCTTGCTACCGGAAGAGCACTTATGGATTCAGAACGAAATGAAATCAAGTTTCGAGTTAATGATGAAGAGGTCACTTTCCAAGCAAATAAGGGTATGAAGTTGCCAAATGCATATGAAGGCATCTCAGTCATTGATTTTGTTGATGAGGTAGAGGACGCAAGTGAAATGAAGATGGAAGAAGAATGCCTAGATGAGGCTTTGGCGGCGATATTGGTAAATTTCGATGGTGAAAACATGGAGGGGTACATGGAATCGATGAATGCATTAGAAGGACGTGGGTCTTACACTTACGCACCAAAGAAGCTTTCTCTTGACTTAGAGAATAGAGCCACTTCTCCAGCAAAGCCTTCAATTATTGAGCCACCACAACTTGAACTCAAGCCACTTCTACCATACTTAAGGTATAAATTTCTTGGCTCTAATAATACTTTACCGGTAATCATTTCTTCCTTGTTGAATGATGTGCATGTAGATCATTTATTGAATGTCCTAAGGGAACATCAACAAGCCATTGGGTGGACAATAGCGGACATCCGAGGGATTCCCATCGGAATCTGTGAGAACAAAATACAATTGGAGCAAGGAAGCAAACCTAGTGTGGAACACCAAAGAAGATTAAACCCGTCCATGCAGGAAGTGGTGAAGAAGGAAATCATCAAGTGGTTAGACGTCGAGGTAGTCTACCCCATTGCCGATAGTTCTTGGGTGAGCCCGGTGCAATGTGTGCCAAAGAAAGAAGGCATGACCGTTATCCAAAATGAGAAAAATGAGCTCATCCCAACAAGGACTGTGACCGGATGGAGAGTTTGCATGGATTACCGAAAGCTCAACAGTGCCACTTGCAAAGACCATTTCCCTATGCCTTTTATTGATCAAATGCTTGATCGGCTAGCGGGAAGGTCATTTTATTGCTTTTTGGATGGATACTTCGGCTATAACCAAATCGATATTGCATTAGAAGATCATGAGAAGACAACATTCCCATGCCCATATGGGACTTTTGCTTTTAGCCGGATGCCATTTGGGCTATGCAACGCTCCGGCTACCTTCCAACGGTGCATGATGTCAATTTTCTCGGACATGGTGGAAGATTTCCTAGAAGTGTTTATGGATGACCTTTATTGTATTTAAATATATCTCTCGATCGTCTTAACTGATATTGATACAGATGCAATGTATGTGGTAGCACGAGGACTTTGTCGTGTGAAGGTGATTGTTATTGCGGGCACGAGGTGCCATACGTGCAAGATTTGGAAATTGTGGATCATGATTTGTGATTTCAAGGATTGGTACCTCGGGGTAAATCTTGTTGCAAGTCCATGTGTTGAGAATGATTTGATTAATTGAGTTGTTATATGTTTTCCTTATTGAGTTCATTCATATCCCATCGATGTTCTGATTATGCTGCTATTCTATTACCCGTCTACTTCTTGCTGGCATTTGAGTTTCCATTTATCTTCGTCGTTAGTTGTAAATTATAATCCTTTCATTGTTAGTTTTATGTTATATCTTGTACAGGTTTCTATCTCTGGTAGGTGTCTTGACCTGGCCTCATCATAACTCTACCAAGGTTAGGCTTGATACTTATTGGGTACTGTTATGGTGTACCCATGCTACGCTTCTGCACATTTTTGTGCAGATCCAGGTCCTTTTGATCGTGTTGTTGAGAGTTGTGTCCGCGCGGCCTGAGACTTCAAGGTATTCCTGCTTGATGTTCGCAGGCCTCGGAGTCATCTTCAGTTATCTTCTCATTACTATTTATCCTTCTATAAGACAGTGTTGTATTAGAGGTTTTAGTATGCTTTTATAGAGCTTATGACTCAGTTTCACTGGGTTTTGAGAATGTTGTATAGTGATTTTGATATGGAGTTATTATAAGACTTATGAGATTTATTTCCTAATTTTAGTAGTTATTTATGTAATATTTCCTTGTTGTTAGGCTTATCAGGACATCCTAAGGTAGGAAATTGGGATCGCCACAAGTTGGTAACAGAGCTCTAGGTCTATAGGTTCTACAAGCCATAAGCAAGTTTAGTAGAGTCTCGCAGATCGGTACGGAGACATCTGTACTTATCTTCGAGAGGCTACAGAACTGTTAGGAAATTCCATTCTTTCATTCCTTATCGTGCAGCATTGATTTAACTTAAAGCGTATATCTTATATTCTTTTGCATCCACTCGTGTATTATATTGCGCACTCGGTATCGGCTATGCACCAATGGTTCGTGAAGCTGTGGATGGGCTACGAGGGGGCCACGGATGCTCGATCATTGTCTCGAGGTATTTTCCAGACTGAGGAAGCGGATGTATTAATAGATCATTCAGTTGTTCATGTGGGGGTGCAGCGGGTTCTGGCATCTTATTGATAAGTACAAGCTTGGAAGATTTAATTGGTTACCAAATCGCCGCGATCGTGGTAGAGACATGAAAGGGTGTTGATCTGAGGATAGTTGGTGGTTCTCGAGACTATGTATGTTGTATGGGTCTTCTATTCAGTGAAAAGTAATATTGTCATTCGATGCACTTGAGGAAACGGGCTTGACTGTCCCGAGGAGGGGCATACGCTTAGTAGGTGATTTGAGGTATCTTATGATTGGTGTTGTTCGAGCTGTGAAGGTGGGTATTGTGGATTATCGGATGTGATGTCCTGCGGCTTTGTGCCAAGTGGGAGAGTCCACTATCGACGATCAGATTGCAGGGCCATGTGTTATATCAGTTTTGTCCTGAGATGTATATGTGGTATTGAAGGGTTCCACGAAACTTCTATATGATTATAATCTGAGACTTGCATGGGATAATGCTGGGACTTACGGTATTTCCGCGTCATCAATAATTCTACATTTCAGTATCATAGGGGTTAGACAAACAACTTCAGATTCACAGAAGTTCTCTTCAAAGTGGGTATCTCGGTTGTGACATTATGGGATGCTTCAGAGGAAATACAGTGGTTTATGAGCTTCTAAGCTACGTGGTTCGTGCTAGGATCTTTTGTATTGAGTTTTGGATTTGGGATCGTTGTGTACCAATAGGGAGAAGTGTTACCCTAAAGAGAAGTTGAGGAGGATTTGAAGAAATGGGTCAGCTCGGTGGCGCTGGGGCAGCATAGCAATAAAGTACTCTTGGGTTTGACGGGTTATGTGACATGGTTGAGTTGGGGAAATTTAGTTCTGAGGGCTTAGTTATGTGCGGCTGAATTTCGGAGAGTTCTCGATGGTGTCGACCATAGCTTAAGCCAGTTGATTGCTACTGGCATAAAGAATATGTTGTGCATTATGGTTTTCTCCTGTATGGATATAAGAAGTTAAGAGAATGCTGGCACTATGATAATCAATTTCACCTTCTATACGGGATAAGTTATACCAAGATTTTTGTACAAAAATTAATAGTGGTTTTAGCTAATACATCTAACCAAGTAGAAATGACATCAAATAGCCACTCTAAAAGGCTGTTATTTAGGAATTAGCCAGTGCATCCTAAATTTAATTTTTCCGTGCCATTTTTCAGGACAAAAATGTGTTGAGTTATCCTGAAGTTAAGATTTTTAGTTTAAAATTTCAGGACAAAATAAGTATCGGCTAATCTCTAAATAACATCCATGAGAACGGCTATCTGCCAGTTGCCCCTGTAACCAAACAGGGGATAAATCTAATTCCAAAATTTATACACGGGATAATTTACCTAATTCCTTGAACCAAACGGCCCTAGTTGTTAATCTAACAGTACATTAGATATGTAAGCAATATTACCATGTAAGACTGGTCAAATGAGGAAAAAGGAGTTAAAGAAAAAGTGAAAAGATGTATTTTTGAAACAACATCTTGGTGATCATAAATGTAGAGATACCTTGTGGTGAATAAACTTGAAGTTAGTACTGCATTCTGATTACAAGTGAGAGCCTCTAAAAGAAATGAAAGCTACATCAATCCTGCTGCTGGAATGAGAGAGCATCTAGCACTGAAGCTCTATTAAGTATTCTTTACAAGTGAGAGCCTCTATACTGAAAAATTACGAATTTCTTCCTCAAGAGAGAAATATGTAGTTCAGTTGTAATATGACAGTCCAGAAAGGAGGGCGGAGAGGAAAAAGATGCATTAAGTTGTTCAGAACGTCGCTAAACAATATGCACCAAAGCTTATGTAAGAATCAGCATCATTAATCGTTCATTGGGGATTGACGATTAAGAAATTAATAGACATGTGCAAATGCAAGTACGTCTAAGTAGGTTAGTGATCACAAAGTTGACCATGTTAAGAGCTAAATGTCAATTAGCATTTGCGATCATATTAGAAGTAGATTGTTGCCAATGCTGCTAAACTAAGTTCCGGAAGAATTACAGGGTGGGTAGGAAAAGAATCGGAGTAAAGCAAACTGATGGCATTCTACAACAATCTTACTTGTAACTTCCCTACAAGACCTTTGCTTGTTTTCTTCTGTTCTTTCTTCTATGATGCTCTGGC